TATACTCACTCAGTGTTTCCTCCAGTGTCCCAAATACACATTTCCAGGCCTACCTGTCTAGAAATGTCTTTAGACATGGGCTTATGGTAACAGCTCTGCAAGTCTTTCGGATACAAGTTAAATGCTTATAGGTGTATTAAAAGCAATGCTAGGGTAGAAAGAAAGAGATGACCATTTATTGAGTGCCTACAAAGTGCCAATAAATACATTATACAAATATATATATATATATTTCTTGAGTGCCTAATACATAGCAAAATAGTACAATGTCATGGCCAAAAGAATGGATTCGAAAGCCAGATCATCTCAGCTTGGATCTAGGCTCTGCCACTTACTAGCTGTATGACTCTGGGCAAGTAACTTGACATCTCTGCTTCTCAGTTTCCTCCACTGCAAAATGAGGTTAACAGTATTTAGCTTATGGGATTTTTGTGAGGTTTTACATATGTAAAATACTTGAAACACAGTGCCTGCTCCATGTGTTTGCTGTTACTGCTGTTATTATTGCTATATGCAGTCACTACAGTTTATGGGGCAGTGCTGTTATTTCCATTTTACAATTAAGGACAGGGAGGTCTACTGAAGCTATATAACTTGCCAAGGGACATATAGCTTGTGCAGGGCAGAGCCAGATTTGAAAGACAGGTGTATGCAGCTCCTAAGAGCTTTCTACTGTACACCAAAGCCAGAACATATCTGTACTTCTGAGTTTTTGTCTCTCAAAGAGATCGAAGACAGGCATATAGTAAGAATCTATAGGCATTTGATCAATAAATATTACTGAAAATATTGTTCCTTAAAACCAGTAAACCATGTGAAATACAGGGTTGTTGAGGAAGGTGGCTGGGGGAACTGGGTAGTGTGAGTCAAGCCTTCTTTGGGCTGCAGCAGGAACCTGGAGGTAAGGAGAGGTTCCCAAGAGAACAAAGGATTAGTCACAGGAAGCGGTCATGGGAGGGGGCAGTGGAAGGCAAAGAAAGGATTTCAATGAAAGCAAGGAGCTGGGGTATCCAGGACTGAGATCGGAAGAAAAACGCAAGGGCTGGGATTTCTAGAGACTGCACTTCTAGGTAGAGCCAGAGATGGGAGCCTGGGTGAGAACAGGGGGTGGGCCACGAGATGCCCAAGGAGGGGAAAACAGCAGTTAGATCCTTCAGAGTCTCAACTTCCTTTCACACCCTGCCTTTCGGCTGCAAAGTTAAGTGAGGACCAAAGAACGATTAGACCAAGAGAGGAAAGGGCTGGAGTCTGGCGGCCTCACTCCTGGGAAGGAAGCCTTGAGCGGTACAGAGAGTGCGCTGTGCACAGTGTTGGCACATGGAGCCTCCCTTACTGCCCAGTGAGGCAGAGAATGGGACCATTGTCCAATTAAATTCCATTTTTTAGCTGCATTTATCTGTACAATTGAGGGGGGAGGCGCTGGCTTATCTGGAAAATAATTTCAACTCTCCAGTTATTTTCACCAGATTGTTTTGCTCCAGGAATCAATAGAAAAACCTTTGGTTCGAAGTCTGAGGTCCTTTCCACCCCCACCCCACCCTCAAGCTGGGTTTTTGAGCCCCTCTCAGATCTGGGTACCACACCACACTCCAAGGATTTACAAAGCAGCTGAAGAAAAGGACTGATTCGCCCTGGGGGAGTATAAACCTGTCTGCATTTGTGCCCCCTGAAGGAAATGCTAATGCACAAAAATTCAAAGTCAATTATGGAAGGCATATTCTCATTTTATACATCACATGGTTTACTCTCCAGAGGTTTCCAACTGAAGATATAATTTAATTTTTATTTTCAACAGCGAATTAATTAAAAATAAATATGCTCCAATAAATTAATTTCTGCGTAAATTTATGATGTACAAATCCTTGGAGTTAAGTGAGCTTAATCTGTGTCTTTCTGTTTGTTTGTTTTTTCTTTCATAATGGGATGCGATGCTTAAAAATTCTTATCACCGAGCCGAATTCAGCCTTTGGCATGCCTGTGTAACCACCGAAGGAGACTTAGCCGCTTACGAAGAACAAGGTGACCTGTGTTCTCCAGGCACAAACCGTGTCTCTAAGAAGGGAAAGGGGGAAGAGGGCAGGCGAAGACCTCAAATATCAGTGAGGACTATCAGGACGTCCTGCTAATAAACGACTTTTTCACTGTCCACACTGTAATTGGTTTACAGCCTTTTCTGTTTATTTATCCATAAGAGCTGATGTTAAATGGCTCGGGAAGGCGCTTGCCTAATGGCCCGGTATCGCTGCCCGGCCTGCGGCAGGCGAGGCGGCGCAGGGGCGCGGGCGCCAGCGGGCGGCAGAGCGGAAACGCACTTCACCTGCAAAGGGACCTGGCGCTTTTATGATACCGGGAGCTTCATCCACAGAGAACGACTATACACAATCACGCTCAGTGCAGGGTTCTGCGGGATGCGTTTTTGCACGACCGTACGTAATAATTAGCCAATCAAAAAAAATCCCGGTGGCCTTGATCCACCTAATAGTAACGACAGTACTAGTGAGGATGAGGATGACCCATGGCTGTTTGGCCTGTGTTTCCCGGGTGCCTCTTCCGGTAGCAGGCGGCCGCAAAGGCTAATTGCGAAAGTGAGAGCGCGCCACCCAGGAACACCGTCCGCGCCTCCCCGCCCCTCCTCCACGCTTTGGCTCAGCCAGGGGTCCCCCGTTTTTCTCCGGCCAGCGCGGTGGACAGATTTGCTTTCTGCTGAGAGCCTCTTTTCTTTCTGCAGGGCCGAGCAAAATACTAAATGGGAGCAAATGAAGCATCGAAACGGAGACCAATTTACAGAAATGTGCAATTAGATGAGAAGAGCAAAGCAAACACTCCGGGAATGGCGGGCGAGGCGAGGAGCAGGAGAGGGGGGTTGGGGCGCGGATGGGGGAACTGGGG